TGTCGCGTCGAGGGTGTTGGGGACACGAATGTTGCGTGAGTGCGACCCGGGGTGCATGGAAGCGGTGGGTTCGCTAGCCGCTGGCTCTGCCCTGATAAACCTGACAGGAGGGCTGTAGCGGGGCAGCCAGCACCTCCTTGCTGTGGAAGCCTCGGCAGGGTTTGTGGGTGCTGTGTGGCCCGAACGGTGGGGTTTGCGTCAGGTTGTCTTTCCTGCTCCAAGGATTTCCTGGGTGTTTTCTTGTGATAGCTTATTTGGCTTGGAGTTGACTGAAATTTCCTGGCAAAGCAAACACTTAAACCCCTTAAGTGGCTGCGGGAGTTTGTTAAGCATCTCTCAGGCAATGCTTCACTGTTGGTAGCTATTGTGTGAACATGTTGTAGTTTGTCTGCTTGTAAGCTGTGAGGAGATGTGAATAGCCCACCTGACTGTGGGGATGGGAAGATGTTGTTGGTTCTCGCCTAAGTGCAGTTGCAGTACAGGCCAGGTACCTGCAAGTGATTTCTACCTCGATAGGTGTTGGTAGGCTGGTGCTGTTGCCCTCTAGGGTGTGTCTGGCTCCTGTTTTTCCTGCAGAAACACCATGAGGCTTGAATGAGACTAAAGAACCCCACAAGTGAAGGGGGACCATGCTCCAGATACTCAATTGGGGGAATTTGTGGACTCTTGCTGAAGTTTTTTTAGGAGTTAAAGACCTGCAGGAGAAACAGGAATGTCAGAGTTATTGAGCAGTTTGGCCTGTAAAACTACTGGCTTGGTGGCTTAGGTGTTGTATAACTGCACAGAAACTTGTTACCAAAGGTGGTTGGTTTGTAGACCAGCTCTTCTACTTGGCATGAGGTTTATCTGTGGAGCCTTTAAGCTGTTATGATTCAGCTGCGGGTGGCTTTCCTGGCTGTGCAGCTTGCAGACAGGGACATGGAGATCAAACCAACAAGCTGAGCCTTGAAGAGGGAAGAATGGAAACAGGCTCGGTTATGAAAGCATGAACCTAAATATCAAGTCAAACTGGACAGAACAGGGGCCTCAGCTGTCAGTAGTAAGCTCACACTTCTAGGGACAGGAAACCTTGCTGCAGGAACTGTGTTCCTCGTTTACATATTAATATGGCTTATACCATTTGAATCAGACTTCTGGTTGCTGAAGGCGTCGTTGCTTTTAAGTAACTTCAAGCCAGGCTTGTTGCTCTAGAAGTTAAAACAATCAGATGTCTAGACAACAGTGAGCTGCACCTTGTTTCTGTGTGCAGGCTCTCTTCTCATCACTAGAAATACAGGGTTATGAAGTAGTTGGATCAAGCTGCATCCTGTTGTGGTGATTGCCTTTATGCATAGTGCACTAGGTAAAATATTAATACTCCAAAAACTATTTTTGTTAGGTCTGTAGAGCACAATAGAGAAACTGAAGAGTATCGTAAATAGCTCTTCTAAAGACCTGTTCAGACTCACCTGGGTAACTGGTGCTCCCAAATAGCGCACCATTGTACTGAGAAGGCTTGCTTTATGCCCAGCAGTACAGGGATGTTCTCTTCAGAGAACCAGGGTTTTACCAGCTTGCTCTGAACCAATGCTGTTGAGCTTTGACTGCTGGATGGAGCAGCTACATAGCATATGACCCTTAGTGACTGGCTTTAGCTTCTTCTCCTCAGCAAAAGGAAGATGATTGCCTTTGCTTAAATCCAAAGGCTGCTAAGTCACCAGCATTTTAAACCACGCTCTTTTAGAGGTTCGTCTTAATTGGGATAATGAGGGGCAGCAGTAAGCAGCCGAACAAATAACCTGACTCTTGCGGACTATCCTGCTTTCACTCCTTCGGTGCACTCGGCATCTCTCTCAGAGTAGGAGAACTGGAACAGACCTATCTTCTGCTGAAGACAGCACTGCAGGTTATTTGGGAGAAACAAGTATGCTAACTGGGATAGCAAGCTGTCTTGCTTCTGCAAGTGCCTGGGACTATCCAGTGAGTCTTTCATCACTGATGCAAATGGAGAGTTTAGAGCGATGGAGGCTGTTAGCCTTGTGTCTGAGTCGATATAAAGCTAGTGGATGGCTTCGCTTGGTGTGAACTCCATGTTCTTTACAGCTCTTAGCTTGAACCTGTACAGTTTCACTCAAGTATCTCATGCTGTGAACTGCTGTGGTCCTTCAACTCTGCTTTTCATCTCTGGTGGATCTCCTAGCTCATCTGCTCGTACTGCTTTTTGTCTGCATCGCATGGGACTTAGTGGTGGCAGAGTTGCGCTTAAGGAGCTTCTAAGCTTGCTGGCTGTGAAATGCTCACGTGCATCCTGTGCTTCCTGGTCACAGATTCTCCTGCAGTGACCATCCCCCTACCCCTCACCAAGTTCTGTAATTCAGTACTCACAGAATCCAGCTTTTTAGCATTGCTAGACTGAGTCATCTTGTCCTTTTTTCAGTTGAACCTGTGGTTAAACCCAAACCAACAAAGAGAGGGGGTGAGAAGAATGCTGGCAAATCGAGAAGGAAGAAAAACAAAGGGAAAAACAAAAAGAAGGGGACTCCCTGTGAAATGGAATACAAAAACTTTTGCATCCATGGTGAATGCGTATACCTAGAACATCTCCAGATGGTGACCTGCAAGTAAGTCACTTGTGCCTTTTGAGTTAGATGTGATTGACATGAGCCCATGGCGTATGAGGGCTCAAAGGAAAAATCAGTGTCAACTTGGCATAGATCCATCTCCTGCCGTATTTTGACTGAGAATCTTTCTGCCATGTAAATTAAGTGATGATGGAATCCGAGATGCGTAACTAGCCACTGAACTCATCAGTTGGTCATAAACTCAAACCAAAAGAATGAAAAGGCGTGTCTTCCTGGAACATCACGCCCAAACTAATCTCGACTTGTTGAAATGCTGACAAACCTTGTGCTAGAGCAGTGACTGCGTTTCGTGAACCCACTCTAAAGGGAGCATCTTGAGATTCATGGGAAACTCTGAAGATGTCTAAGTTGGGTTTGAATGTGTGTGGGTGTCCTTGGCTCCAGACAGCACTGGAGCTGATAAGAACTTGTGTCAATGTTTACTTGCAGGTGTCATCAGGATTTTTTTGGTGAGCGCTGTGGTGAACAGTTCATGAAGACTCAAAGGAAGAATGAGGTGGCAGACTACTCGAAGACTGTGTTGGTAGTGGTAGCTGTCCTGCTCTCAAGCATCAGCTTCGTTACTGTACTTATCATTGTGATAGTGCAGTAAGTATTACACTCTTTGGTGTTCCTATAGCTTAAATGTGAGCGGGGCTTGTGTCCCGTAGCCCCAGAACGTGCGTGGCTCATCTGAATTTCCTGTGTGGAAGACATCCAGAAGCGCTCTGGTCTTACCCTGGCTCAGATTTGTCTTGAGGGTAGAGGCAAGGTCTGAGAAGCTCTTAAGTGACTCGGTGTTCACTTACCCCCTCATGCTGTTGTCTGTGGCTAGCCTGGGACCCTGATGTTTTAGAACAAGAGCCTTTCCGCTCTTGCTGCAACCAGGATGGTTACAGGGCTGCAGAACATCAGTGGGGAGTGGAGGAGGAGCATTAATGCTGACACGGCAGTGCTTTCCCTAAGCTTGGTGGAGAAGCCTGCAAGCAGTAATGCAACAGCCTCATGCATGGCTGTTATCCAACAACTGGAGAGACAGCTGGAGGGAAGGAAATGGTGCTCCAGCTGTCCATTTATTAGTGGAGATCGCTGGGCTTAATACTTAAACTGGGGGGATGCAAATAGGAGAACCAGCGCTTAGCCCCAAATACTGCACTGCTTATAGCTAAGGTGGAGGGAGTGACCGTTCCAGCCTAACCAGCTGCTGGCAGTTCAGCATGGTGGGTGATCAGAATCTGGGGTCCTGCCGTGAATGGATTGAAAGAGCTTTTCTGGGTGTGTGTTTCAGGCCTTATATCAGACTCTTCTCTGTGCCTGCTAACTAGCAGTCAGCAGCAGCTCATGCGTGCCTGTACCTTTGCGTCTTGCCAGTGTGTCAGCCAGGAGTTTGTGCTGAGGTTAGACAGTCAGCGTGGGGAGCCCGGCTGCAGTGTTTCCGGAGTACTGGAGCAGTACTCCAGCTCTGACACTGCAGCTGCACCACAGTAGGGCTTGGGATATTATAGGTGAAACTCAAAAGTTCAGTCTAATTTTAGATCTTGATGAAGTACATCAACAGAATTGGGTACATGCTGTACGCTTTCCTGCAATTCAGGAAACAAGGTGTGCGTTTGTCACTTCACTGTTGCTTCATATTTAGATCTTAACTTGAGGAATGCTGGGATGAATCTGAATGCTGCCTCATTCCTTGCTGCTAGGAGAGATAACCAGTTCTGTAAGGGCAAATGCTCATTGTTAGTTTCTGGAGTGAGCCATGGAATAGGATTTGCATTTGTTTCGTGCTCTGAACCCTCACAGGCTTGAAGCACAAGGTTCATTAATCTGTGTCTTCATCCAGAGAAGCTAGATGGTCTGTCTGGAACAGTTGCTAGAAAGAAGATTGAGAAATTGGGAGAAAATCAATAAGTAGCTTATGATGCATTCAAGGGACACATCAAGGGAACAGGGGCTTCAAATACTTGAAGTCCACAGGGCTCTGCTGTGGGGAGGAGGAAGGCAGTCTGGTCTCTGCAGCTGTTTGCTCAAGGCACCAGGAAAAGCTGTTCCCCAGAAAGGCTCCTGGGGCTTTGCGTAGTTCCAGCAAGAGGCCCTCTTCACCTTGCTGCCTGTTTGGGCTGGAGCCAGGAAGCCCTGGTGCTGTGAGGTGAAAATGCCAGTGCCTAACTCAGGGGGCTTCTCAATGTTATTGTCAGATACTGCTTGATGCCAGATGTTTAAAAACTGGCTTGCTTGAAACTTCCTGATACTGAGGAGTTCCTTGAGGATTCAAAGGACATGAGTCTAAATGGTGCAAACAATGTGGGGGCTGTTAACAACAGGGTGTACGTCAGGGTTCAGAATGACCTCTAACATGCCATAATTCCACAGGGTCAGGAAAAAGTGTCCTCAGTATGAAGAGAAAGAAGAAAGGAAAAAACTTCGACAAGAAAACAGAAATGGCCATGTTGGTGTGTAAACGAGGAGAAAGCAGGTATGAAAGCTGACTTGAAATGCCTTTCAGTCCTTCTGGGCTGGAATTACCATATGAAAATCGCATGCATGTTTTGCAAAGCTGGTGTTTGCTTCTAACACTTGAAGTGCCTTGAAACACATAGGTTACATGTGAATGGTCGGCTTGGTTGTTGGGTTTTGTGAAACCACCTGAGCTGTGTGAGTTCTTCAGCAATGCTGTTAGCTTTCTGGCTGCTGTCTTAAAGGAAAAGTGAGGATAGGAAGCTGTACTGTGATAAGTGGGCTATGAAGAAAAACCAAACCCTAGTATCTGAGCAGAGGCAGGTTTAGTGCAAGAAACCATGGTAGACTTCCATCATGGAAGATGATGCAGCAGCTAAGTGGATCATCACCCCTGCTAAGAGAAGCACTGACCATTTCCTTGTCTTCTCTGCAAGGCATCAGTAAGTTTCTTGTGCTTAGAGGCTGTAGACCAAGACAAAGCTGCCAGTTCTCTTGAGCACCATAGATGGGCTCTCAGTCACCTTTCATACTGTCATAGCAGCCCAGTACTAAAGCTCCTTGACCTAGGTGGATCCCTCCTGGGAGGAAGCTAGTGGATTTTGATGAGCAAGCAAGTTGGTCTCTTCCGAGTGAAAGTGTACCTAACAGCAGGCTCAAGGACCGGTACTGAACAGGAGTTATGCTGCACGCTGAAGGAGGAAACTATAGAGGATAGTCCTGAGAAGTTCTGGCAAAACCCAGAAGTTTTGCTTTGTTGCATGCCAGCTACAGACTTTGTCCAATCTTTGTCCAGTGACAACTGAGTGTTTAGCTTAAAGCTTGCTTGAAGCTGAAGAGTGTCTAGCAGGGTGTCCTCAGGTGTGCGCACATACTTAACCTGCCTGTCTCAGGTGGTGGTTTGACTCAGTTCTAGCACAGAGTGCTTGTCTCTTGGGTGGTGATTAATGTGCCTGGTCTGCCCCTTACAGAACAGTTCTGATGTGGCCACTGCCAAGCTGCAGGGTACCTCTGGCTACCTGACACATCCACCTGGACACTGTGGGCTGGTGCTGTTGCTGCTAAGCCCTGATTCATCAAGACAGAGGCTACTGCAAGGAGATGTCAACATGCCACTTGCTGCTGAATTGCTTGCTGGGGAGGACAGTTACCGCTACATCTTGGCACAGGGATGTGGAAGGAGCTGCCACGGTGGGGTAGAGGACCTGCTATCAAGATCTGCTGAAGACTACTGCTACTGAGCCCTCTCTATTGGTCCTGGAGCATCAGTCTCTGCTGTAGTGTGGATGGACTTTCTTCTGTTAGCAAGTCTCCATTGGCAGCTCAGACCCTAAGGTGTTGTGGCTTTCAGGAATGGATGGGGGGAGAAAATTCCCTTTCCTCTCCCAGAGTTAAAAAGGGAAGAGCTCTGGATGGCTTCTCTCCATAGACCTCAGTGGATGAAAAACCCAATTCTGCTGTCACTGTGCTCGCTGTTGATACCGGCTTCAAAGAACTTCACCTCTAGTTCTGACTTGCAGGGTGTTGGTGACAGATCTTTGTCAGCCACACCTGGGTTCTGTTACTGTATGTGTGGAAAGTAATCCCTCTGAATTCAGTAGGACTGGTTGTGAGTGGAGCTATCCATTCGTGTGTATGATAGCCTGAGTTAAAATCAGTCACTCAGGATGCTGAGACAGTAAATGCAACATGTGAAGCTCTGTATCTGAAGGAGAAGATCCACGCTCAAACAAGCTGATCAGCCTGGACCCATCTGCTGTAAAGCTACTTCTGCTACCCGGGTACTTGCTGCTGCTTTAAGCAGCACTTAAAGCATACCATGCTTCACATCAGATCCAGTAAGTTGAACTTGACCAAGAACCTGTTCCTTTGAAGAATTCATGCACTGACACTCTGCAAGCAGTGGTCTCTGTGCTCTATCTTCTGGTGTGAAGAACTCAACTTACCTCAAACTCTTCTGACCCCAGTGTCCTTGGTTTCTTGAACTGTCTGTCCATTCAGTCTTGAGCACAGAGTATTATCTGAGTTCAGTTTCTTCTTGGAGAGTGAATGTGTTCATTCACAGAGCAGAACTCTTCTGGTAGCAGAGAAACACCATTAACTGTCAAGTCATATCTGTAAATGTGTAAATATTTATTACTGTATTTAATATTTAATGTTTCCATAACAAACTTATTTATTTTATAATTAAACTTTTTACATAACCTAATCATGGTAAGATTTTTTTCTTGCTCTCATGTAAACACTTGAAATTAGAGCTTGGTTTCTCCTCAAAGCAGGAATTTGAACGCTTAAGAGCACAAAGCAAGGCTGTGAAGAGCTACAGCCCTGCATGAAGTAGGAGCTCGGTGTTCTCACAGAGTGCAAGTTGTTTGTAAACAAAATGTGCAAATGCAAGTACCTGTTTCAGTAGGAAGTTCATTTAATTCAACTACAAAGGAATCTTTGAGTTACTGGATTAGGGAGGGGTGGAGTGAGCCACCTCATTGGAAGCAATCTCAAACTGAAGTTTGAGCAGATGAGTAGCCCTTTGCACTGGACTTGAGAGCTGGGAATATTGAAGAGGGGAGGGCCTTTCATCTCTGTGTGGTCAGAGAATTTGGACAGCAGCTGGAAACTCTGTCTTAAGTAAATGAGGAAAAGCAGACTAGCCTCAGGCCACTGACTCCCTAAACAGAAAGGGAGCCTTGGCCTCCACAGTCTACCTTAAATTTCTTTTCCTTCCCCAGGTAATTAGTTATTAGTCCAACTGCATGCTGATGTTCCCTCTGAGCACTTCGAGCAGTGAGCTGAGATCTTAAGTTCAGAGATGACTAAAAAAATAAAAAGGGGGTGAGTTCAGCTTTAAAGCCACACTTATAAAGGTAATGATTAAGAACCTTGTTTTGAGGCTCTTCTCAAGAGTGCCTTCAAGAAATGTTGCTGCCTGTGGCGTAGCTTGAAGCAGAGAAGAAAAGAAGCAGCAGCAGTTTCAGTTAGGACCCCAGTTGTGTACCCAGTGTAGGAGTAGAACGCACTCCTGTCTGGAGGAGCTGAGGTACAGTTGCCTTGGCCTCCTGACTTAGCCAGGTAGTCCTCTGCCTCTGAGAGCAGCCTGTATGGTATGTAGCTGAGGTACAGGTAAATGTATTGCAACATCTCTTGGGAAGATTGCAAGACTTCATTCCAGGGAACTTGCTTCATTACCAAAGTAAACAGCACTTCTCCGAGCGGCTTTTCCACAGACATTTGCTATTGGAGCTCTGGCAAGAAAAGCTGTTTCTGTAAGTCATGCCAAGCTTTTTGCTTTGGAGTAAACACGCTCGATCTCAGTGGTAACTGAGCTGTAGCCTAGTGAGACTGGGGATGGATTGCGACTCCCATTCCAACATCGTGAGACTCTTCTTCCCGAAACTCTTCTATCTCTAGTCTGCTTTCTGGGGTAAATACCAGGTTTTCTACTTGATAGGCTAAACCAATGCTGGTGTGGAAAACTGAGCTGTTTTCCCTCTTCCCTCCCCAGCGTGAAAGCCAAACAGGAGTGAAGCTGCTAGTGTAACTTGTAAATTCTGTCTGTTGTGTATCTTTTGCATGCTGATTACTGAGCAGACTGGAGGGTATTTTCCAAAAATAGATAGTTACGAACTGGAGAGGCCCAAATGAGCTATTTCTGGGAGGCTGGAGTCTTGAACATTTGCATGTCAGCTGGTGTTCTCCTGACTTGGACTTGAACTCATCAATAATTAGGAAGGAAAAGAATTTTGCCAAGTCTCTTTAGCTGGAAGTTTGGAAACAGTCGAGGGCAGGCTTCATAGAAGTCTTGTTCCCCTTGAAGGATTTAGGTTGTGGCTGCATTTTCTGAGAGATAAGGTAGCCAGCAACTCCCTCCTAGAGAAGACTTTTGCTATGGGTCAGTCACATCCAGCATTGCTATAGTGTTTGCTAGCTGGCAGTAGTGTTTTTTTCTGCTTGAGCTATGTCCCTGACCAATAACAGCTTGCCACTGGGTTCCTAATGTGAATTTGATACACAAGCACCATGAAGATGTGCAGTGTCCAGTGGGCTGTTTGCTTAAAAAACAAAAATACGGCCGATGGGTGGAACTGTGTGTCTGCAAGTCTCTTGCTGTCCAAGGATGCTGCACATGTGTGACAAGCAAATCTGATCTGTTGCAGGGCAAGGCCAAAGATAATTTTTATTGGTGATCCTACGTGGCCGGCTCTGCTCTTCAGGATATATACATTATCTGGCTTTTAACCTGCTCCCCTCACAGTGGAGTTACCTTAGTTCCACTAAGTGTACCTCAGTTTCTGGTCCCGCATCTCAGTAGCAAGCTATGCCTCCAGATTTTTCTTGACCTTCCAGTGGCAATGTTGCTTTGACAGGAGAGCTTCTGTGTCTTTGTCACTTGTACCTGCCTCAGCTGAGACCAGGAAGAGTAGCCTGACGTTCTTGCACAATTTTGTGCACACACAACTGATTTTGCAAGGTATTTTCAATATCCAGGTCAGTATCCGGGAATTCTGGTAATGTGAGGGTCATGTCTGCTTGCACAATTCCTTCCTCTCTCCTGAATGTTTCGTTCTTCACAATTATTTCATTTTGTAGAAAAAAATAGTAACTCCTCACAGTGTTTTTCTCTATTGTCTGTTTACGGAGATTTTGAGTATTTTGCAGTTGTCTATGACCAGAGTAGCTTCCTGTCTACTTCTGGACTTTGCTTCCCCCCTCCTGCCCTCCTCCCACGATGCCCCTTTTCCCTCAGAACAGTAGCAGATGTCGCTTTGAGTCTTGGCCTGCTGGATAGTATAGGAGGGCCAGTTCTACTCTGTGGCAATGAAAAGTTACGAGTTTAAGATGTTTTCTTTTCCTCGGTCTGTCCGGATATACATGGATATCTATGAAGGTGTTTGTGTTGGCAGTGGCTGCGAGTAGAAGTTGTGCAGTGGTTTGCCTAAATCCACCTTTGAGTTGTTCCATACCACTTCCGGTAACTGGTATGAAGTTTTGAGTTCTTAAAATAAC